GGCCTGCAGATTCATCGATTGGTGACAAACCCCAAAACCCCTCAAACAGCATATATCTATCTTTGATAGATTAATCAGTTTAATTAAAATAAATAATGGATAGTATTCTATCATAACTTTAAAGAGAAGTTAACAAAATCAACCTTAAAAAGACTCAAAGTCGCTAGGATAACATTAACAAAAAATACTTTAACTCTGGCCAATTTGATCTCAGAAACAATACTCTTTCATAGCAATACCGATAAGGCATCCAAGAGGAAGTATAGAGTCAATCAGCCTCATATCATTCTCCTGAAAGCTACAGGGGATAACATCAGGGCAATAATAGAAATGCTGAGAGGCCAGTATCATCATCAAGACGCTAGGATTCAGGCAACAGGAGTTTGAATAGCTCCATTACTATAACCCCAAGAGAGTATAACTCTAGCAAAGAACAGATAAAGCAGGTGTTTATGTCCAAAGATGAGTTGTTTAAGAAGGTAAATACTGTGTTTGAAAAGATCATTAGTTCTAAGAGTGACTTTTTGTCCCGTACTTAAAACACTCAACAGATCATACAGCAATAGTGGATTATAAAGGAGTAGGAATTTGAGCACCTCGAGAATCTAGTTAAATAAAGCTAGCTTGAAATGCTGAAAGCGATTGAGGAATAATAAAAGTATGTGATAACTTCCGATAAGTTGCCAAAGTCTTAAAGTCAAGAGAGAAGGACATGGCTCAGTAAAAATCCAAGTGTTGCCAAGAAGATGACAAGTTAATTAAAGAAAATAAAAGAAGAGGAATACAGAAGAAACTTGGATTCTTTTGAAAGCTCATCTGATTGCAATGTTGAAGACGATGATGAAGAAATTTAGCGTCAGAGCTCCAAAGTATCTTCGATATAATCTAGTATAGACAGAGCATTAGCAGAAAAATCTCTTTAAATAGCAGTAGGCAATTTCGAGAAAATACTTAATTTCATAAATTACTTTGCTGACCTAGTCTAATAGACAAAAGATATTAATTAGATACCGCTTCAGTATCTCTCAGAGTAGGAACAGCTCCTCAAAGATTTTACTGGTCTTCAGCAAAATATTAGAGTCCTTGAAGAAAGATACTATTCCACAACGATTGCTTGGGAAAAAGAGCTTAGAGATTTGATCAATTAGAACAAATTAAAGTCACAAAAGATTATAGAAATAGAAGTTTAATACAAAGAACTAGCTCTTCAGAAGAATGATTATCAGTTTAAATATGAAAACTTTGAGAAGGAGATGGAGCTCATTAATAATCAGCTTTACATCTAGTTTGGAATAGACCCTATTGACTACTAAACAGACTATACAGGCAAATTTAATGTTGATTTGGTTAGAAGGGTCTTCTAAGAAAATGATAGACTACGATAGGACTATGAAAAACTGATAGAAAATATTGAAAGTTCTAGAGCAGATATTCAAAAAGTATCTTTGAGTTAAAGATCTGCAAGCAGAGAATTTCCAATAATTGTGAATTAATAGGTCAGCTAAGTCAAGGATCAATATGAGTTATAACTTCAGCAGCTACAATAGAAGTATGAATAGAAATATACTGAGCAGTTTTCTGAACTCTCAAAGTCAAGAAATAAGGTCATTGAAATGATAGATGATAAGTAAAAAATGGACTAAGAACTTTATCAGTTGAAGCTAGAAAAGAAAGATCTCAAAAATGATTTAGAAGTCAAGACTGCTAGAGTTTTAGATCTAGAAGTATAATTATAAGAGTATAAATACAAATCAACTCATATTGTTATGCAAGCTGAGTCTAGAGCAGTTGCTATAAATGAAGTTTAATCCAGGAATGAGTTATTGAATGATAGCCTAGAAAATGTAAAAAATGAGCTGTTAAACACTAAAAGAGTGCTTAGTTAGATGGAAAATGACAAATTTGAGCTAGAAAAGGAGAGCTTAAGAATAAAAAGAGACATAAAAAAGCTGGAAATTCAAAATTTAAGTTTATAGGATGAGAAGGAGCACTTGATTTAAATGCTCGAACTTAAGAATCACTTACTAGACTCTGATAGCAAAAATAGTACTACATATAATGGTATTTCATAAACAGATTATTTCTAGGCAATCTAAAGGCTTTCAATGTTTGTAATCAATAGAAGTAGTTCGAATTCTCAAAGTAAAATAGACAACCTAGACGAAAATACTAAAAATATAGTCCGAGGTATATTTAATGAAAATGTGTGCAAGCTATTGGATTAGTATGAAATGAAAATTGAATCATAATAGAAAATGATTACAGATCTCTACAAAGAGCTAAGTGAGGCATACAATACAAACATTAATTCATTGGAATCGACATTTTAGTATCTTGATCTTCTTTAAGAACTCAATATCACTTTTCAAAAGATACCCAATAATAAGCTCTCTCATGATCTTCTGCTAATAAGTGAAAAACTTTAAAGATTTGGAATGTAGTATCCAATAGACAAGAATAGATTATCAAAAGAAGCTGAACAAAGCAACGACAAGCTAAGAATGGTTTATTTAAAGCTTGAAACATTCAATGATGGATTAAGAGAATAGATGATGAATATGGATAAGACAAGTTATGGGTCAAATAGCCCCTAAAGGATAAAAAGCCAGTTGATGGGAGAATTTTAATTGAAATTTGAAAATGAGTTAGAAGAGCTGAAAAATCAAAATGAAAATCTAAAGTATAAAATTGACATGACATCTACTGAAAATGAGGAGATGAAGCATCAACTTACAAATATGAAGAAAAAAGACAATGATATCCAAAAACTTAAAGCATAAAATGAGTAATTGAAAGAATTAGTTAGTAAACTTCAAAAGAATCAGAATGGGTTGGACTCTGAAAAAGACTTTTCAAATTTCAGTGAGTTAAAATAAGTCATTTAGCGCCTTGATAACGAACTCAAGCGTGAGAAATCACAGAACACCTTCCTAAAGTAACAGCTTAATGATTAGTCACTATTTGATGGGTTAGATGGATTTATGGAAGATGAGGTTTACTTTAATAAGAGTAACGATGCAAGGTCTTACAAAAATAATAGCATAAGTAGGGAAAATAAGAGAGCCAATAAGCACACTAGTAGCGATGCTCTCAGTATGATTGATGACTAGTCACCTATCAACTCACCATTTACTAATAATAGCAAGCAAATGAAAAGGAAATTGATTAAGAAAGAGCATCTCAAAAAGTTGGAATTAGAAATAGCACAATATCAGAAAAAAGTAGAGGACTCCAGATAAATGATTGAGCTTTAATGCATTGTTATTGAAGATCTACTTACCCAAAGAGGAAAACTATAGCAAGACATTTAAGTGTTTATTAGCAATCATTCTCCAGTGCCAGAACCTAAATAAAGCATGGCTAATACATAGATCAATCACTTGAGCAACTAAGAAGTCAATTCTACCAGGTCTCCTAGAAATAAAGACTCTAATTTGATGCAAAGAAAGGAGTTAATGCTCAAAAAAGGAGGAGAGAGTAGAATTCCTAAAATTAATGCAAATAGAAAACCACCCTTTTGAAAGACTAAATGAATTATATCATTAATAGACGCAATTTTTAGCTTATACTTATTTATTGAATTTAATTTTTTAAAACTAAATTTATTTATATAATCATCAGATGCTTTTAAATTCTTCTTATAGACTTATACAATCAACAGCAGCAACACCTCTTTCCTCCTTTAGCTCTTTCAATAAAGTCATTCATAAGAGGTGGTCTGTTTCCAGGAGGTCTGCCTTTGCCATCGTCACCTAATTCTTCATCCAAGAAGAAGCATTATAACACTGTGTCAGAGGCAAATGAGAATACACTCATGAATATAGCTCCAATAAGGAAACCGATAATACCAGCAACGATGCAAGGGAAATAAGGCGATGAAATTCTCTCGTGGAAGTAAGGCCATTGCATCAACATTACGTAGCAACATAAAACTGTGCAGCAAATAATAAACAAACGACCAAGGAACATGAAAATTCCACCAAGAGAATGAACAAATCCAAATCTCAAGGCATTTCTTACTACCAACAAGAATCCGTTCCAAGCAGATCTACAGAAGTTTTTGCTGGTTAAAGCAACTTAAATGTAAGCGTTCTTTGTAATAAACTTAACACATCGCTCAAGGCAACTTAGACAATATCCGGTGCAACATAAGAGGAACTTCACAACTGGGTTGTCCTTGTTGGCAGCCTAGAGCTTCTTTCTGTAGTATTCGAAGATTATTCTGATGAACTAAACTAGGGCTATGATGAAACTTCCAAAGGCAATTGAACCAAAGTGATATCTAAAGATCCACTTAATACCTGTGCATAGAGAACCTTTTCCTGCAGTATCACTTGTGAAAGAGAAATACCAAACACAGCAAGCTGCTGCTATAATAAATTATGAGCAACCAATAATGAAAGCATTGACCCAGAGACCTCCAAACAAATGATATAGGAATATATATCTAGTTTCTTTACCCCATTTAACAGTAGTTACAAATGTCAATGGTGCTTCTCTTGGTTAGATGTCACCAACTGAGAAAATATATACTGCAGTGAAAACCCATGCTGCAACCCAAGCAGCGCAAATTATCAAGAAAATAATTGGAATCAGAAGTACAGTTGGAGTGTTATAAATGAATTGACCTGTAACCTTCATAATTGCAACTGCTAATCTAATTCTTCCACAACAGCAGAAAATCAAGAGTAGGAAGGCACCAGCAATACCCCAAAGAGCGTATGCACCATATTACAAATATTTGTAGTTACCATCAGAAGTGTCATAGTCATCTTTTGTTCTGTAGGCCCAATATCCGCCTCCACCTAAAACTGCTAAAATACCAAATATTGTTGTCCAAACTATCACTCCAGCACAGCATCTTAATATAACTAAGTAAAGCATTCCTATGATAAATGCAGCTCCAACACAAATTAACATAACTTGCCAGCAATTAACTAAATCCATCACATAATCTGTAAATTTATCGATATTATATGTATCATAGAATCTCTCTTTGAATGTCTTGATAGCAGTATCCTTCATTGCTTCAGTATCTGGAATGCAGTACTTGTTTAGGACTATATTAATGTTGAAAATAAATGTAATGAGTTTACTTTTCTAAGTTCCATATCTCAATGGGTCACCCTTATATACGACTCCATTACTCGAGTAAGCTGATGGATAGTATTAGCATGATGAGAACTAAAGACTTTTTTCTTGGAAGAATTTTGGTTCTTTGCAAAGTACTGCTTACGAAGAATTCTTGGTTGGACATTCTTTGACACACATAGAATATCTGAATGCCTCGTAGTAATTACTAGAGATAGCTGATGCATCTGGAGCGGGCCAGTACAGATATGGATAATCCTTAGTGGTAGTATTATAACCACAACCGTTTTCTATAAATAGAGTTAAGCTGCTGTTGGTAATCTAAACTTACTGTCATAGTCCCAGCCAGTTAGAAGTAACATTGGATCGCCATTAATGAATCCATATGCAGCAGTTCCAGCCATTCCGACGCAAAAGGCTAAGAAAAGAAGACAGCAGATAACATCAGTGCATGATCTATTCATAACTGGCCCATTCATCAGCTCATCCTTTGGCAAGTCAAGCTTATGCGACTAAATATTTTGTTATAAAACATTCTCAAAATTTGAATCATACATCTTTAGCATCATGATGCTATTTCTGATCATCGTCTGGTATATTCGTATTGCTTAAAGGCTATACTTTCGTACTACTCATTTTAGACGAAACTTTTATTTATAATTGTAAGTTATTATTAGAATTACTACTTTAAGTATTACTTTGACCTCATTCAAATATATTCCGCTTTACGGGGTTTTGGGGTTTTGGGGTTTTGGGGTGATCGGAAGAGCACACGTCTG